CGTTTCCTCGAAATGTGATCTCTGCATGTGATCAAACAATTACACAATCTGTGAGACAATTTGCCTCTGACGACCTGCATCAATCCCTACTTCTAAGTGTTATCTACATTCGCCTATACTTTATTATAATATGCGGTCATACAACTGAGTTTCATTATTGTCTAAATGTGTGGATGACCAGTCTAGTGACGGATATTATTAGTAAAAGAAATTGCTTGTACGTAAATGTTTTTTCTGAATCAGTGACTGCACTGTATCGCATCTAGCATAGGCTACAGTAAAACAGAGCGCTTACTTGTCTGTTGAGCATTTTCACAGATAGTATGGAATTTTTTCGGAATTTCTTTCCTGTTCGTCTCGTCACACTTCATATTATCAAAAAGCGCCCTCAGTGGTCTCGAAAAATGGCCATGTTTTTGTTGGAAGATTCCAAGTGCCTTACCACCCTCATGGCCTACAGCGTTTTACTTATAATCTTCAACAAGTAAATGGGAAATAGGAATAAATTATTTTCAAATGACGTTATGTTACACGAGATATTATCTGACATCTTATGATATTCATGATATGACAGGTTGGTAATGGTAAAAGCTCACAATTTAAACTTTATCGTGTAACATGTCCCGTTTTCGTCATCCAATATGAACATGATGTTAGCGAAAGAACTCGTATCCAGGTACAGCTGTTCCATTGCATGTGAAATCACTCTCACTTTCTTACGAGATGTTAAGGAAACACAGAAATAGCTCTAGGTATAAGATGCATCTCTCATTATATAAGTAAATGTGTTCAAAATAAATGTAGTTTCGACAGCAAATTATTTAGTTATCCATGCGAACATAATAAAACAACGGCTTCTGCAGTTATCAGTCACAGAAAGTTGAAATAATCAGATCAGACAGCTATATTCATAAAGTAACTCATATAAATTTCTTGCTCAATGGTGCATGTTGATATCTTGGACGACGGCCCCTGGCGAATTCAAGGAAGCTCTAAGAGGCTATCAAAGAGCCGGAGGCAATCCATCCAATCATTGGCTGGAAGAATATTCCAGAATCTCGACGTATAGCCTCGCGATTGGGCAAGTGCTAAAAGCCATTACATGCAGATTGGATGACTGTAATGATGATTTCACTTTTAGTAAAATCTATTAACATCTGAGTGTTTTATACCATATTAGAAACGGTTTGGAATAAGATTTTTTCCCTTCAGTCTTTTTTCTTCTAACTCATAACTTGAAGGGTTCAAGCGTTCGAGTGCTCAGGTTGTGCCCGGAATCTAAGCTCTAGGTAAAACAACTGACAATGCGGTCAACATGTCATTTACTACTGACCAAGTCAAAGCTCAAGAAGTCCTAGATATATCAATATCACTTTCAGATATTTAAGTCCAAGGCACACGCTTTCCAAATTCCAGTGTTCTGAATAGTAATCTTTCAACATGACATTTCGTTATAGCACACTGAGCACATCAAACTGAGACAAACGATTTTGAAAGTGAGCCACTACAAGCGACTCTGAGTGAACTTATGTTTTTAAAATCAGTGACAGCTATGTCTTTGTGAAAAATGTCCACAATAAATTTCAGTGGTTAATCGAATTCGAAAGATTGTAATGGTTTGGGTCTCGGGGTTTTCCATCGCTAGACAAAGTCAAATGCATGGATAGCGTGCCATAAATCTATTAGGACACAGATGGCTGCGAACAATCTCAAACAAGCATACAATATAAACCCGACGATGTAGGGGAACTGAAACCAACTACTGGCAGCTACGAAATTCAGACCTACGTTATCGGTCATGATTCAATGGCCTTAAGGTCTACAAAAAATAATAACTCTGAGGCATTACTATTATTTAATAAACGAGGAATGGAGTTATTGCAGCCACAAAATGAAATATCTAACTCTCTACATCGATCTATGGTCAGCAAAAATGAACACCATACACATTTATTTGGCTGAAAGATAGATTAAAACTGGTGGTGCATATTATTATACCACGTTAAATGTCTTCTTAAATCTACAGAACTCCTAAAGGTGCAAATACTACATAGTTAGGCTGTCCTACAAACACGCTATCGACCGGCCTGAACTAAGCCGGTCAATGCGTGTGGAACAAAAGAAATAACTTTATTTCTAAAATAACTTCCACTACGTGTCGCTCTCATACTAGTGGCCGACTACTTGTAGTGGTACACAAACACGGCTTTAGTAGAATACGAACTACTTAAATCAATCGGTAGGGTGGTTTTGTCGTCAGTCAGATTTTTACTGAAGGTCACTACAGATAAAAATAAAGTGACAACGTCCTGTCGAGGTACTCAGAGTTAGAAAAATACAGAAAGAATACAGTGGTTATTGTTCAACTGAGTTAATTTATGGACGACACTCGCATCGCCATGTGAATATGATGGGAGCTCTAACGTTACCTCGGTGTAAACAACCAAATACTTATTTCATATAAGGTGATATATAGACACTGAAGCCTACGAACCACAAATTTTGGAAAAGAATACATTTGCGCCCACTAGAATGGAAATTGCACACATTGATTCTAATTAGTTCCAAAGTATGTCTCAGCCGTCTGTTAAGTTAAGAAAAGGGCCCAGGAGTATTAGCTGTAGACAAACTTAATGGTAAGACAGGTTGCAGTGGCATTGAGCCCTAACCACATATTCCTCAAAGCTGAACATGAGACAATTTTGGAAATAGATCTTTAACATTTAACGCGGAGAATATCCAACGATGGAGATGGCGAGAAGAATGGATTCAATTAGTTCGAATTGATCGGGTGGCACGACTGAGCCATGCAGGAGTGGTCACACTCATATGAAATAATCTTTATCCATATTAAATATATTGTTCTATTTCCAGCCTAAATTTATTCTTCATTATATATTGATGATGGTTACGATATGATGAGTCAGAGTAGACGAGGATGTGACCACCACGTAAGATCTTATAGATTAGGCGGTTGCGTCATCACAAATCTACAATTTTTGGGATTTGGTCTTTTATTAATGCAGTAGACCATAATGCTACAAGGTACTATATTACTTGCGAAATGTATAATCCAAAGACTATCTGCATAAAAGCCCGAAATCACAATAATAAACATTTGTGAATAAATAATATTGTCTACCAACAAAAGAAACTAAATTTTATGTCTACCAGACAACAGAAAAATTGCTGTGATGTTACAGTCACCCGAGCTATTACAACAGATTATGGATATCAGTTCAAATCCGGGTTGTATAAATTTGCAACAAACCTCTTAGACTTAACTCACTTCCAAACCACAGCATACCACATATAAAATAATGGCGTGGTAGAAGGATTGCTCCTGCAGTCGATAGCCTAATCTTCATCTGTGAATACACTAGCGTGAACAAACAGCTTATAATTACCTTATTGTTATTACCAGTGGCTTTCTTCATTGTATTTCTGGCACAATATAGAATACTCAGCACAGATTATTTCAACAAGTTTTTTTTTCTTATTTCTTGGTCGACACTTTCAATAAATGTTGAGTGGTGGCCAGTTAGGTGTTGGCAGTTCGGAGATAGACATCCGATTAATGTATATTCTTTTCGATGCATATTGCCAACAACCACGATGTCTCTGATTGGGCTTTTTTGTAACTTGTATAGCGAAATGTCATAAACAGTTCACGAACGTACCTGACTAGTTTATGTGACTACTAAGCATAATCATGTGTGAAATCAAACACGAAAACAGATAATGTGTTCAAATATCCATGCGGCAGGAACAGGTGGTCTCTTTCTGAATTCATGTGATATTTCTGAACCTATTTTGTGGCCTGAAACTTTCTGAATTTTAGTCCCAAAGTACGTCAATTCTCGCTCATCCTGTCAGTTGTGTTAAAATATTCTCACATGATAGCTATCAGATTTAGAATCATAAGTGCTTGTCAATAGATCTCCGATGTAATCTCTTGAAATGAATATTTATTTCTTCTGGTCGTTTTTAGTTATCACGGATGCACTGAGAGTTCTCATATACATAATTTAAAGTATACTTATTCACTTCAAACAGCGTAGTGAATCTGGTTAAGATTTTTGAAATTTCAGTTCATCATAATCTAAAATCATACGTTAAATATTGTACAGATGTATTCTGATAGTCTTAAAATATTACATTTGGAGCATATTCTTGACCAATTTTATAACAGGTACTTTCACCCAGTTTCCGATTATCTTATTTGTTCTCACCTCACCATACGGAAATAGCATTTCCACATATACTTCTGGAAGTATAAATATCCTACAGCGATTTCAAAACATTTCATCAAGTCATTCCATCATATAAAGTATTTATCTTTCAAACAGCAAAAGAAAGTGCTGACTCTACGCCCGTTTGATGATGAAAAACTAAGAAGACCGCCGCATAATCAACTACCATTACGGAATATCATAGGCATAGATAGAAACGCCGGTGTTTGATGACAAAAACCATATAGAATGTACTCTGAAGACAGTAATTGTAAATAAAGCCTTCTAATCCCTAAGAGTGGTCAGGTCTTGAAGTTCCTTACTATCCGACTCGGTTCAGACAACTATCCAGAAATCATTTAGGAGGAGATCTAGTACATGCTTATGGACTGATTTTAACATTTCATATTGACTGATAGAAAACTATTTGATCTTTTCCTATTCTATATATCTGGATCTTTACATGTAGACATTTGTGATCTGTTAGTACGATTCTTATAAGTTTTTTGATCGAAAGCTGTTTATATTTTGTCCACAAGCGTTTACACCGTTTACATATCCAGTCCCATCGAACTTCTGCGATACATCCAAAGACTGACTACTATGACTAACCAAACATCTGGAACACCTGTTTAATGGTAAGAGGTGAGATTAGAGATATCAATCAGTCAATACCATCTTATCCGACGTACAATAAAATTATTGATTATTTAGGGTTATTGAGAAGTGAATTAACGGGTGTTGTTTTCATGGGTCGCTTTTGAAAACGTCTGTTTGTTACTGTGTTTTCGTGTGTCAAGGTTGATGCGTCGATAGGAGTTGGGATATTTCTATCTGTTAATTTTTGTTTAGAAAAGCTCGTTTCAGAATTTTAAGACGGTTAATTTTGGTTTTCTCAATATGTTTCTGGCGTTGCTTTTTCAGAACAGAGTAAGTTATTATTGAGCTGTTTTTCCGTTTTTTCTAGTTTCTCTACTCTGATTAATCCACTTAATACTTAAGCGTCATTCTTCTAGTAGACTAATTCTACTGATATGCCCGTTTATGAACCCATACTAAAAACCAAGATTAACTATTCATCCACAAACCTCTGGTATAAGATTATCTAATTGATATCTCTGAGTTACATTATTTGTATCAATTATTATCTTTTTTAAACTATAATTGTGACCAAGGTTGGGGTTTTCTGGTTTCATACAGGGAAACCTCGACCAACATTTTTGTATGATGTCTGCAAATATATATCACGCATTAATGATTAGGTATTGATAATCATTATTTCATAATCTGTGGATAGTTTGTTAAGCAAATCGTATGGTAACGAAATAGAATTTTGAAACCCTATGATACATGTTATGGACTTCCCATACAGCAAACCAGTTTCTTCTAAGAGTCTTAGACTTGTTTATTTTAATAAAAAGGAAGGTTTCCCCAAAAGCTTTTGAAACACTGTGTCTTAGTTATGTACTTTGCCAAATATTTGAATTAGATTTCAATCATAATTAATCCGTCTCACAACTGTTTTGTAATCAGTGGTTTGGTCTAGGATTGTTGCTTTGTCGTAACGTTCATGATAAATGTATCTCGAAAATAATTCTACAGTCTAGGTGTGGAAAAATAAAGTTTTTTGGAGATCGTCAAATATTTTTATTTTTACTCCCGAAATACTCTTAAATTACTACTAACACAGTACTAAACTCTAAGTCTATATTGAGGGTGCTAGTAGATTTATCACCGTTGTATTTTCTAAAAATCGTGTAATGTCTTACAAGCTAGTGTTTTTAAATTATAGTTAAAGAGCTTTACAGTATTTATAAAAGTGGCTAAATAAAAAACCTTACGTTGACCTGCAAAACCTACTTAGAATTCCTGATATAATTATGATAGTTTTATAGCGCAAACTTTCATTCGTTATACTCTTTTCAAGGACATAAAATGTGTCTGCAAGGCAACCACATACTTTTCAAGACATTTCTAAGTTTTTATCAACATTTCTGAGTTAAGTATCATTATCTTATCACCATGCAGTTCCACAGAATTATTTTATGGGATCTTCGGTTGTATACTGATTTGTTATGACATGACTGGAAAGAGACATTATGAAGTATCGACCAGTCGTATGGAATTTGGCAATTTATAAGACTAAGCTAATCAGGTACTAACTGTTGATTGCATATTTTTATCCTGCTGTACCCACATATTTTATGTATCAAGGTGATAAGCCTTTAGTTTCTTAGGTAACTTTCTAACTATTTATAATATCCTCAACTCAGTTGTTAGTATGTTCTTATTGATGTGTAGTAAGTTGTGTGAGTATAAGTTCATATTTACCTCCCTTGACACCTTGAAACTATCCAAAAACATTCAAGCTTTTGGTTTATGTATTGCTTTTAATGGCCTTTACGGCTACTTGGACCTTACATAACTCACCACTTGGCAACAAATTTTCTGTTTTGACCAGCATATGCATATGGCTTCCTATTTCCAAGTTTCATATCTGTTCATTTAAAACTAATTTATATTTATGTATTTGCCTTGGTAAATCCTTCAAATAAAAAATTGTATACAAAATATTTGTTCCTTAACAGTTCATTGAATTAGGTTATTCCAAGTTACAAAATTGTTTCTATTCTTGTTGGGGTTTGACTCAATCTGTTGACCTAAATATATGAGGCGTTTATCTTAATCTTTTTTATTAACTGAGTGAATAAATAGTACTTTTTCAAACCTCTAGTTTTTTATTGTCATATTACTTTTATCTTTCTATTACATTGATAACCAATGTACTCCAACTCTTAGAACCTGCCATACTTCTGAGTAAATGTCACTTAAATCTTTCAGTTACTATGCAGTTTTTCGAAGCTATCAACACTTCCCATAATATTCCGTATACGTTCGCCCTTTTGTACAAAAATTGGTAATATTAAGTAGCCAGTTTTGTCAATAATTAGACTCTTAGCCGATTAAGATCCCTTATTGTCAAAACTTTATTTAAAGCTGTTTGTTTGACAACTTACAACAAGAAGTTATGTGTCAGAGGTCGATTCTTGCTTCTGTTTTTATGTGTCAACCTAATTTACTTCTACTCTGGATTAAGTACTTTAAGCTGATTAACTCAAATTATTTTTTATTCTTCATTCAAGATTGAGTTGCGAAAAATCAACTGATATCAACAATATCTAACTGCCTCATTAACTCTATGTTTTTATGCAATTAGTATTTATCCTCCAAAATGCGAGAAAGTAAGCCTATATCAGCCGAATGATTTTTTTCCTTATTTCTTTGTCCAACAAATTACAAATGATACCTGTCTACTAGAGGGTAGTCGAAAATAAACAAATATTGTGGTTCTTTAAATAAATATATCAGTTGAGAATCATATCATTTATATATTTACATTTATGTTTGATTCCAGACACAACATTGAGCACGTTACGCTTCAAAATGTATTCAAGACATAAATTATTTTAATAGTTGGATTTCATTTTGTATCACCAATACACCTGCTGATTCAGGCATAAGACAGAAGCTAGTTGTTAGAAAGCTTTTGTGTTTTCTATTCTACTAAAAATCCCAGACTTCATCGGTATGTTAAATTATCTAATTCAAAGGATTATTTGTAAAATATAGGGAATCTCAACGCTTCCTTAGTATAATTTATTTCACAAGAGCACTTGAACTTAAAACTATATTTATAGGGGTAAGTGATAATGAGCGCTTCTGTCAGTCAGTCAGTTTTTGAACTGATACGAGTGTGCAACCTAACATCAGTATACTGGGATAGGATATGAAAATCATGGAAATAAAAACAGTATAACTTCCAATTGAACTCCAAATATATGAAACAGTTCAGGAAAAACAAATGAGATTAAAGAGCATAAATGTTCATAGCGATAGGACAGTCACATTTATTTGCACTTCAACAGCATAAAAGAATATTAACAAAAAGTGGAAAACGTTATAATTTACTTTGGTATGTAGAAGAATAGAAAAATATAAAAAATCCTTTTCGGAATAGGAATAAAAATGAAACTGAATGCATGTAAACCTTCGCGAACATTTCCAAGTCGGGAATCAATATTCCTAAATGCCTGATTTCGAAATCTGTCGAACCCCACTCAAAATGACTACATTCTTGTTGGAGATGTTAGATCCCCATAACTCACGTGGTAAATGCCTTATTTTTGTAATTCTGATATGACGGGATAAAAAGTCAAAACTAGATTGATATACTCATTATGATTTTTATTCAACATTAATTCCGTCTTTTTTTTAACTCAATGTAGTATTTGTTTTGTTTTTCTCTATAAGATACGATATTCTTGTATTAAGTTAACATGAACTATACTCAGCCTATGATTTGTTATAACTAAGTATTTATCATATATGTGATTTCATCCTAATTATTAATCAAAAATGTGTGTATGAATCAATATATGAATGAGTGTACTTCCGACCAGACTCGTCGTGGTTGTTCGTGTTTCTGACTGCTTGTGGAATATATTTCCCTCTTCTGAACTTGGACTTATCTTTTTAGTTAGCAGAGCTGAGACGCGTCGGAATAGCTAGCTTATCTGTGATCGGGTCACAGAGTCTTCGTTCCGTCCTCAGATTAGGTGAACTCGTAATCGCTTCAAACATAGCAGTTTTAGAAACAAATCAGACCAGGAATAAGTGATTACACTATTTCTTGTACTGTTCTGATCTCGTTGGTTTTCTTATTAGGATATTTTAGGATAGTCAATCACTCTTTGTAATATCTAAATGTGTAAACAGATTGATAGCCAGGTGTTATTTACGGCAATACTCTATATATCTAAGAATTAAAAGGTAGTAATACGATTAAAATTGATGATAAATTGTTAAGGTAACCAATTCAAATAGTTAACTGCAAATATTTCTGACTCCATTCTTTATTACTGGGTGTAAATCTTGAATAGGCATGGGTTTCTCCAACTCTTTAAATTTGCATTTTCAGTATGTTATTAATGGTATGAAAACTAGTTATTGGGGACAATAAATCCTCATTTAGTCAGACAACTGTGTCATTTTCTTCTCGGTGAAATATAATTGACAATGAAGAACTCAATATTTACCTTGGTTACGACCGAACAATCGACTCATCCACTATAGCAGACAGTATTGGGAATCCCAGCTATCGATGTAATTACAGTTATAGGTAGATGTATGTGCAAGTATAAATATACTTTTTATCTAATGATTCATTTCATAGTGCTCAAAATTTTGTTTGGTTCTATGGGGCAGTAAAGCTGCATAATAACATTGCACGGGATATTTTTTATAATGTATGTAATATGTTTTTCTAATTTAGGTATTATTACACATTGAACTGTTAATCTCGATGTTCAAATTTCAAAAATGTGAGAGATAACTCCAAGTTCAATAATTAGCGCATTACTTAAATACAACCGTCCGATTCACTCCAAAGATTTAATTTATTATTTAGTCTCATGCAGCTCATTAGTCAACTACAGGATTGTATGCTTAGATCTAATCTTGATGTTGAACGCACTACAGATTCATTCATGCCCCAAAGATAATTAATACACATTTTACTGTATTCATACAAAATCTAGAGTCTAGTTAGGACTTGTAAAGATTCCTATCGCACTTACTATAGTGAAAACAAACATAATCTAAGGCTCATGATTTTGTAAAGTTTGTCTCCGAGCACATAATATCAAGTATAGTTTATGGATCGTTCAGTTAGCAGTCCATTTCCGTAACAACAGATTTTTTGTCTTTATCAAGAGCCAAAAAAGCTCAGTTGTTGTCTTACAATTAATGTGAATTTAACATCAAGAAATTTTCATTTAGTTGGAAAATAACTATAGGCACTAAATCTCAAGAAAACTAGTGGTTTATAGATGTTGCATTTAGTGATTGCTTTGTTTTTCTTCACTAGTAAAAAATGATGTAATATATCAATGTTCAGCTTTGATTTTTATTTTATATATCACGAACTCCTATTGCTATCATTCTTAAACTGTTATTCCAAGGTAGTTCAATTCTTTTCAAATAATATCTATAGAGTAGAAGTGTTTAACATATCTTCCTAAAATTTTCATTCTACCCCAGAACAAAAAATTACATTTTATAAACTATATTGTAGAAAATTTGTTTTGTTCTAAATTTACAAGGAAAGTGCAGTTATATACGGCGCCATTTTTTCAACATTTGACATTTTTGAAAAAATATGTTTAATAGTTGCATAGAAAAAAAAACAAATAATAATTTTTATGCTATTTATCTGACGATAAGACGTTTAATAGTTTTCTTTTTGTAAACATATCAATTTTAAATTATTTGAAATTTTAATTCATATTTATACAGGTACGTTTACCCTTTCAAAACACTGTCATCTTCATAAAATTAGTAATATCTATTCTTCTAGCATTGATAAATTTATTTCAAAAATAGGCTTAATATTAATGAAATATAAAGTTGAAGTTTTCCATACACTTTCTATTCAGTTTTATTCATTATTTTTTAAAATTAACTATTGATGTTTGACTGAATAATTGTTTGTTTGTTTGTTTTTTTATTATTCTGAATAATAAAAGGAAAAAAAAGTATGACTTATTTTAGTATAGATGATTCAGGCTTAAGTGATATTTTTATTTAATAAAAGAATACCGGTGACTTATTTTCATTAGAATTCTTCCTTAAGTTGATAAGTACACGATTGAATGAAATATAAATACTCAAAAATTCGTTAATTTATATCAATCTGAAAGTCCCATCAAATCATGATAAGTGAGAGAAGAATGGTTAGGAGAAGGTTGTCTGTGTAGGAAGGACAACCTAGTCGTAATAGTCGTGTAAATATTTCCGACAAAAAAACTTACCGTAAATTGCTTGTATCATCGTATGTTATGTCTATATGCCGACTAGTTATTTTGGTTTAGGGTATAGAGGGAGCTGAATAACTCATACATGATCAACTTATACCCTATTTATTATGTGTATTGAAAAAAATCACTAATGCGAATTAGTTTTCTAACTTCGGGTCATTTTTATTTAGACGTAAATAGCTTATAAATAGCGTCAGATGATTTTTGTCATTCAACGTCTCTAACCATCGTTTGCTATCATCTCGCGGATCCCAATCAGGTAGTCTACACCTACCAACATGGCTCAGTCCACTTGTCAGTGACGTCATGGATTTGTGCCACGTTTTGGTCTAGCTGCCCTAGTTTTCTTCTAACCTACTCCTACACCATAAAACGTCGCACGTCGGGGCAGTCGTTAATTGGGCATACGTATCACGTGTCCCAGCCATCTCAACTGATAAAGTTTCACCACTCGATCAATCAATTTTTTATCCTTACCCAATACCCGTTTCCTAACAACTGCATTACTTACTCGGTGGTCCCAGGATATACGAGCAATGCAGATATCTGGTTTTCATGAATTTCGATTTAGTTGACCAAAGTAGGAGGCACAATGAAGCTCTGTAATGCGTAGTCGAGCCTTAAATTTGGATTTTAAATAAATGTCTACGTAAGCTAATGTTATTACTACATGAAATTTAGAGGAAGTACATCAGACTGATATCACTGAACTCACTTCTGAGAACCATAATAAGTATAAGACTATAAATGACTTGGTTCCCATGATTAATTCATTTGATTAACTAGTGAAATTCTCGGATCCATGTTTCCTAATAATCAGCAACTAGTATTAGTCTTGAAAATAGCTTCACAAAATTGTAATGGGTTTTCAATAGATATTTGGTCTCTTCTAATGATATTTTATTTAAACCATTTATGTGAATATGAAATAAATATAAATGATTCTGATAAGAGGTTTTGTAGGAACCGGTCTTACATCCTTAAGTATTTGAAATCCTCTCTATCCAACTGAAATATTTTTCTCTTATGAACAGCGGTGTACTTACTGATGTATCACCTAATTGGTATTTGAGCCGTAATTTCCTTAAACTAATTCGACTCAGTAACTGTGTACACGATTGTCTAATTGCTTTTGGACCACATTCCTGATATAAGGATGAGCGCTACCCCCTAGCTACCTAAACTGAAGTGGAGTTCAAACCTTCACAACAATGGCCTTAGCAACTATGGCACTAAATTATGACCTGCTACGTAAGAAGAATATTTTTCTGAAAATAGTCTCCGGATTCATCTGAACTGTAACAGTGTAATCTGCAAGAGAAATATATGAAATATGTATCTCAGGTAGGAAAATAACTTGGGACTTCTTAGCGCCTGAAGGTCAACTAAGGTTAACAAGAGCTGTTATTACCGTGATAGATGCAATAAAGTGCAGATAATTACAAAATAATCTAAAAAATCAGTAAGCCAGGGTAAAATTATTTACAGTATTCTGATAAATTTTAAACTATGTCACCCAATCTCTCATCGCTTCAACTCCGTACTTTTTGAACATTAACCAATATGCATAGATTTTAAGACATTTATTCTCCACGCCGTTATTTATTAGGTAAACTTAGAGTTTGACTTAATCACCATTTCTTTCATCCTACTTTATTCAATTAGTAAGTTAATTAGTTTTTTTGAATATAAATAAATATATCTACTCAATCTATACGATTATAGTGAGAGTTGATAAGGTAGATATACATACTGCACTTTACTGTTAATACTATTTAAAATAACATACAACCACTTTTATTCATTGATAAAACGAAAAACAAAAAAAAAACATTGAAGTGTTTCCAGTTTAATTATTAATCATGTTAGTTGTTATTGCAAATAGATTTTATTTTTTACGTATCTAAATATTTTCTTTTTCATGAACCATGCATGACTCATTCAACTTGTTAAAATGAGAAAAATACATAATTTTTATTTTGTTTGTCACTATAACTATCTCTTTATTAACATCATTATTAGTTCGTAATAATAATAATAATAATAATAATAATAATAATAATAATAATAATAATCAATACATATATATAGAATAATTGGAATGAAATTTAGAGTTAAGGTCAACAAAATTTCCAGTTTTATACAAGATCTATGCTAGTTGTAAGTTGATTTTTTTAAAAAGTGATATTCGTGTAACCATTTTGGAAATCAAAAAAATTTTCCGTTACAAAGTATTATTAATCTGACACTAGTAATGGCGTCAATAACGTAAAACTACTTGGAATGAATTTTTAAAAATCGATCTCATCAGTACACTAGAGTAGCTAGATAACTAAAGAGAGGTGTGCCTACCCAAAAAATAATGGTTGGTCTTACTTTCAAATGCTTTCAGGTTTTCAATCGTTATCTATTTTTGATTGATTCGTGTTTTTAATGAAACAGAACATTTCCACAACGCTATACTAGATTATAACAGCTTATTCAACTTTAAAAACCTTCAGTTTCACAAACGAAGTGAACATTCCATTCAAATCAGTACATACACTCATGTTTGATATTCAGGAGGTGAAGTGAATTTAAGTCATTTACGGATGCCGGCTCATTGGTCTAGTCTTAAGCGCTCGCGCGCGAGACTGGTAGGTCCTGGGTTTGAATCTCGCGAGATATCTAAAGAATTTTTGTTTAATCGTTAATTTGGGGGAAGTAGGAAAAGAAATATATAGAAAACAAGTTGGATTTTTAAAAAAAGCGTATATATACGACCTCCAGTACACTAAAATCAGTCTTCATATCATATCGATAATTACTGAATTATTATTGAAAAGCAGCGTATTGGTTAGTTGTTTTTCTCTACTACATTATTTCAATCTCTGCCAATTTATTTTAATAATTATATCTCGTCGTGCCAATGTGTTATAACATCTTGGGACAATGCTTATCTTCGTCAAGCTCTATGTTGATGATAGTTGACTGACTGATTGGCAACATAACATTACATTTATTAATATATTTATTATTTTACCAAATTGAGACCGATTTAAGCCATCCCCATTTTCTGTTCTTTAGGTCTCTTATGCTTTTTCTAATTGTGGTTTTACCAATCAATCAAATATTCGGAAAACAAAGGTAAACAGAATAACAAGTTAATTTCAAGTAAGAAGTAATTAAAAACAAAAACTTGGAAATATATTTAACTCTTCGTTGTCCTTCTATCCCTTCTATTTTACCAATGACTAAAATCTGTTTACCTAACAAATACAAACTTCAAATAAAACAAGCTTTAGATGGAAATTTCATTGTGCTTTATCAACCTGCTCCAAATTCATTTATTATCATACAAAAAAATGAAGGAATTACACATAATAAAAGTGATCATAATATTCATCAAGAAATTGAACATCATGATAACTTAAATTCTTCTAGTATAAATACAAATGATTGTCAATCAAAATATCATTCACGTCGTCAACGACGACAACGATTTCGTGTAGTTATTGGACCACAATTATGTAATTGTCAAAATGAAATTATGCATGAAACAGGAATGACTATTAGGTTAACTGAACCATGTGTTCACCTATTGTTTGTTATGTTGCATGTTCTTAAAATACCGAGTGATGATCCACATTTAATAGCGACACCTTTACCTAGTTCAAAAGTAAGTCATCTTATTTAAAAGACTATAATTTTAAAAAATGAATATTTCACCATTCTTAAAGTTTAATTTCCCTACTTGTAGCCAAATATCACTTAAATATGCATGTAATATCAAAGCATTTCTAAGTTTCGAATCCATATCGTTCAGTGTTACACTCGTCAATATTATAAACGATTTATTTGAGCTACAAAATCCTTTCTACAAGTATATATTATGTCAATCAATTAGTCGGTGCTTTCAATTTAAAGCATTGATATCCTAATGAGTAAAAATGAGTAATTTAAGTAACGGAATATTTAAGGAAATATGAAGATGAGAAACTATTGGATCACTATGAAAACTCGATGTATTTGTGTCATTGGTCACGATTTGGAATTAGCTTATGGACTTCTGATATTTTATAATCTTTAATTCGCACTTGAAATCGAATAAACAAACCTACCTAGAAAAACTTCGCTTGTCGATAAAACGTAGATTTATTGGGTTACGTACGGCAATTCGGCTCTCAGTTTTACAAGATGATAACAAACCGTGAAATCACAAATCTACATTATGTTTCATTTAAGTCTCGTCAAACACAACTTAGTGAGTTTTAGTGTTGCGAATAAAAGACTTGTAAGCCAAATATGTTTATTTCAATCCAAGAAGTCACTTAAAAGAAAATTTTAGGCTTACGTTTCATGAGTCAGTGACGTGCGTCTGTAATTCTCATGGAAATAATGATCCCCTAAATATTGAAAGCTTTCAAACTACGATGATGCACTTCCAATGCTATCCGATTTATAGTGACGTTTCAAATTGTAACTACATGATTACAAAACATTTCTTAAAATATTTTGAACTTATTTATGAGTATAAAATTTTTTCCAGGCTGAATTTTGGATTGAAAAGTATCGCAATCATCGTCATTCATTAGTCCAGTCCTACAATAAAAATAGAAGAAACTCAAATACATTGAAAAATGAAGGAAATCAATCAGAAACACTTAAGTTTTCAGAAAAATCAATCAACTCTGAAATGTCAAATACTCGTCTAATCATTCCTCAGCCCATTCGTCATGAAAAAACAAATAATTTTCTTCATTTACGTGCTATTATGAATCCAAGTGCCTATGATTCTAGTGAATTGTCATCGATCACGCAAGACATTGTCCCTGTATCTAGAAGAGAGACTGAAAGTGCAGGAACATGTGACCCAAGTACTTCATATACAACAGCAACCTCAAGGACAAGTTCCATTGACAGTATAGAAAGTTGTAAATTAGACACATCCTGTCGATCAAATGACCAACATTGCCGTCCCCGCCATCAAACTACATTTTCGTGCTCCTCTAATTCGGAAACGGCCTTGTCCTGTCGACGGCCTCAAACCGCTCCTCAGCCTGAACTTCCACCCAGACTAGGTCGAACAAGAGCCAAATTTGTCAGGTATTTATCATTAATTTTACAATTGTCATAACATATCCACATGTATACACATTTATATACTATTTGATAATTTTAGAGACTTGGCTGAATTATGTCAAAAAAAGCTTATTGCGAAACTAGTGAAAGCCTTGAAGCAATAGGATATATTTGTATATCGTATGATCTAGTATTCCACAATGAACACCATCTATCATAAATACCGAAATCCAGTTTGATTGCTCCACCCACTACTTATTATTAGAAAATCAAGAAATCTATAATAAAAACCAACGACTAATAAGAACAGTCAAATTGAAGAAGTTGAATATTTTTGATATAAACTAGCAGTGAGACTTATTGTGAATTTACCTCAGTGAAGAGGTTCAAGATAGAATGGAATGATCGTAAGTTATCAGAGATGTTTAAGCTGAAATAGAAATTTTATCTTCAACTGTTTTTAATATTTTATCAATCTTTTTATGACTATAAAAGGAAGATGACCATCTAGTTAATTGTATTATGGTTACATTTTTCCAGCACAATAATTGAATACACGTTTTTTGAATCAGAAATAATTTAACAAAATATTTTGACACTGACTCATATTACCACTAGAAATGGGATTTCTTCATGTTACCTTATAAATCAAGACTAATTGATATTTCGTTACTGTATGTCAATAAGATGTTATGTACATAACAGCTGATAATATTAGTTAAAATTAAAAAAATAGGTGAATATCAATGAAGTTGATTGATCACTGGATAGTATTGATCAATGTGTTTTGTTGTCTAATCCGATAGATCAATTTGTCATTTGGACATTAATCTAAGTGACTCAACACCTCATGGGCTATTTACTTCATCTTAAAATTTAATTGTATACATTAGAGTAGACTACGATGCCATTCAGCCTTAATTATAAGTGATGTGAATCATTACCAATGCTTGTTATTGCCATCAAATTTTCTAGTTTTATTTTTCATATAAATTAGCTCTCTCTACACAAAACTACTGAACATTTACGTACATACATAGGGTTGAGTTTTAAATTTTATAATAAAATTAACCTAACATTTGTAGTTGTATAACCTGGACCTGATTGTACAATTTTTCGTGATTGTTTTAAAGGTCACGCCTGTATCACATATAAAACCCATAATTTTGCTGTCTGTAAACAAGTTTACGTAAGAAATTTGTCCTGTCTAAAACAAATGTATTATTTTTCTTACTGCGTTCTGGTACCTGTCTAGACGCTTAAGACCATTTATAAAAACTAAACATCGTATACATAAATCAAATATCATGGTAATAAAAGCTAAAGTCATCTGAATTCACATTATTTCTAGGTTGAATTTCATTTCTGTACAGTGGTAACAACTTTGAATAGTTATGATTATTACACTTAATAAATCATACACCCTATTACTGATCTGAAGTAATCGGTATCCAAGAGATACATACATTTCAATTATAGGCATGAATTTCAACTCGTTTATTCTGTACTTTCTGTAAAGTATTTTATTCGTCAATAGTTTTGAAACGAAAACACGAACTTGTAGTTATTCAACGAATGCCTTAGTGATACATTATCCAAGCTATTCGGGACCAATTCAAGCTAATATGTACTGAAGTTCGGATAAATTTTCTTTTTATATGGAATTAGTTAATAAAAACTTTCCTATATAATCTTTAAATTGAAAAATTAGTTTAGGAAAAATTTATTCGGTTCGGTTAGAAAAGCAGACAAATTTTTCTCATTTAAAACTTTACGCTTCGCTTAAACATAAGCATATGTGTTCTTCATTATGCAGTGCTACCAGTTGATAAACTACGGATAATTACCATAAATTCGTTTTTTTTTTCAATTTAAGTATCATCAGTACTTCACATGAACGTCTATCATCATTACAACTATGAAAAGATGACCCTATAAATCTCTTCCCGAATACTAATTTAGTATAAAATAAGACATTCTTGATTGTATTTATGTTTGTGCATGTATTCTTCATGATTTTTTCACGAATAAATTCATGAAATTTAATTTATTATCTTTTCATAATTATTCTTTATCATTATTATCCGGACTATGAAAAAAAAAACGAAAAGTATCAAATGATTCACCCCACTATTTATTTTAATACACATGTCGAATATAAAAAAACTCATTCGAAATATATCGTTGAAATCATGAGTCAATTGAAGCTAGACTATCATGGAAAATCTGTAAGCACTGGTCGGCCGTTTCGTTCTAATGCGTGACCCCATCCGGCGGGACTCGAACCCATGGCCTATCAGCCTTGTGCGTAAGCGTTCAACCTCTAGATCACCCATCTCTTAAAATTTAATTTATTATCTTTTCATTATTATCCGGATTATGAAGTGAAAACCGAAAAGAATCAAATGATTCATTCCATTGTTTATTTTAATACAAAAGTCAAATAACTAAATAAATGAATAAAATTTATATGAAAAATTTATTTCTTCATAGACTTTGTATTTTATTGAATTAACACTCAAACTTCAATAAAACAAAAAAATAAATAAATAAAAGGAAATAATTGCAAAATTCATTGAATCTCTTTTTTTCTTTCATTTTTTTTTTAATGATTAAACACATAAAGAATAATAAAAATAATAAATTATTATATTTCAATATTTATTCGAAGAAAACAACAAAGCAAACTTCACATTGAAATACCAAGTCATTATTATGTTTAATATTAGCAATTATTTTTAAATAAATAAATAAATAAATAAACATAAATTTCTACATGACTCATTTCGTGTTGTTCATCAAATAAAGTGAGAGTGTGTGTGTGTGTGCCAGAGAGAGAGAGAGAGAGAACGAGAGATTTATATTTATTTCAACTTATATTTAATAATAGTAAAAAGTTAATTGTTACGTTTCTTTTCTCTTATCCATTTCATATAAATATATATTTTTTTAACATTTATTTTATAATTTATATAGCAAATTTATAAACTATAATATTCATTTAATGAAATAATGAATTCATGGGATATCCTATTCATTATTTTATTTAACTTGATTAATCTACATTCATAGAGCATTCATAGAACATGTTCAAACTCTACAGAATTCAATTAATCATTTAGTTACTAAGTTAAAGAACTAAAACAGTAATTTTGATCAGATTTTGAAAAAAAATTTTTTTTGTTTGAGTTCAATTACAAGATAAAGTAGCTGTCTAATACTTCTGTGATTTTAATGATTTTCTTTTTCTTTCAATTCGTAATGTAAAATATCTTGTAATCTAAATAAGAAAGATTAGTTCAGTAGAGAGTTCTCTTTTCGGCGAATTCATTTTCAAAGCTGAACAATTGCAAATCTATATAATTATTTTTACAGGATGATAATACTACTGATAATAAACTTCTGTTAGATATGGTGACACTGAGGTTAAATAAACAAAGGTATTAGAAAATTTTTTTTAAAACAATAAAAGTTTAATAATTGTTTGAGTGTTAATGGTATAGGTATTCATCCAAAAATAAATAGGGAAGCGGATAGCTCAGCATGATAAGATAAATGTAATGAGAATGATCGTGCAAGCAAAAATAAACCATTTGAGAGTAAACGATTTAAGGGGAAGATGGAAGGTGAAGCTGATGGTTGTAAAGGAAGAAGAGTATGGAAAAGTGAAAAAATATTACAGGACATTAAGACCATGGTAGAAGAAGAGGTTGTACCAATCTCTTTTGCACACACAATTCTGGTTTTTCCAGATGTATGGCTAATGCTTCGGCAATTCAAAGAAGATGCCGTCTAATTGTATTTGGAAGACTTTTGCTTACCTTGTAGATGACTTTGAATGCAGAGTCTGTCTTGAATGAGTGACCTGTGTTCACAAGGTGTTCGATTATTGAAACTCTTATTGAGCCGTTGTCTCCTCTTTTTAGCCATGCTGGACAATGTTCTTGAATTCTTTTGGATAAAGTACTCATCGAACGACCTATATTACGTAGTTCCACATGAGCAGGTAAATTGATAAATACTCATTGAGTTGGTCAGATGCGATAATTTATCCTTCAAATAAGTATCCGGTATTTTGATGTTAATCTTATTATTATTATTTACGTACTTGCAGATAAAATTAATGATCTCTGTGAGTGGAACATTAGTGAATAATGATTCGACATCTAGAGATAGCATAATTTTGTCATTTACATTCACTTCTTTTATGCGCTTGATAAATTCAAAAGTATCACGTACGGAGTGTTTACAAATACTTTTTCGGACGGGTTCTAAGAGATTTGTCAACCACTTTGAAATGGAAATCTAACAAACATTTACTAACATCCTTTTGAATATCCATTATAAATGTTTAAATGATATGATATTCTCGCAGTTTATAAGTTTATGCTTTCGTTCTACAAAAGCAATGCATGTAATAAACGAAAATATCATGTTATTTTATTTTTAAATAATTCCACACTTTCTCGAAATATTTCTCTGGATGTTTCAGGTTTCTGCCAGTTTTTTTATTTTGTTTTTTTTTAAATTACAGATTTTAAATAAACTATGTTGGATACTTGAAAAGCGGGATGACTGCAAACATATACTTTGTTTTAGATTTGTGTTACTCGTTAATGAGGCATATTTCTAAAACTGATAACTAATATTTTGCTTTTCGAACTTCAGTAGAGTAGAACATTTGAATAAATACATACTAAAATTTGAAATCGATATTTATCTATATATATTCAACCCTAGATAGTATAAATGTGAATTACCAGTCAATTAACAAATAATCAGTCGGAAGTGAAATGAGGTCCACAAAATAACCAGTAATATCTCAGCTCCAGACTTTGTATATCTTCCTTAACAAAATAGTATAGTTTAAACTACGAGTAGAGGTTATACAGTTTATCATTCTTGAAAATCATTTAATTTTCTTCCTGCCTTCCTTCATATCCCTTGTTTTCTGTATTCTTAGATTATATCCCTGTTTATCACGTAAAATATTTTGCAGCATGCAATTTCTACTTACAATATGATATATATATATATATATATATATATATATATATATATATATATATATATATAAAACTGTATATGGATGGTGGCTAGTAGTGGAATGCAGGACGCGCGTTTTATCCTTTTTGGGATTCGTCAGCTGAATCTACCTGCATCCCCAGAGTTGACATTCACTCCTGGACAGGTACGTCCAACTGACGAATCCCAAATAGGACGAAACACGCGTACTGGATTCTACTGCTTCCCACTATTCATCTCTGCTTATAATAATTGTGATTTAAGGTGATACTGAGGCAATCCACACAGGATGTATATATGTCAATGGAAGATTCAAACAACCACTACAAAATATAAACAACAGATTTATTCGTTAGATCATCAATCATAGAATCTTTTCAGACTGGTCTTTGAACTTTTAAGTGCTCTGGCTATTACGTTAATGATATACAAATGAAATCTCAAGTTTTAATTGGTATACAATGTTTCCTAATAGTATATTAGGATTTCACCGAACTACTGAGACTTTGGTTTTACCTATTGTATCAGAAAACCATTTTTTTTTTAAATTTGTCGTAAACCTAAATATATTAACTGAAAGTCAAATTAGATTGCAAACGAACAATCATATTTGCATGTCCTGACAAGTTTTATATTACATTTATATGTGATAGAAACTGATGAGCAAACAAAGAAATTTTAACCAAAAAATAATTTAACTCGCAAAGAGTTGTCTGTATAACTTCCATACAACTACTTAATAATCTTTCATTATACAAAAAGTGACTAATCATTTCCCAAATATATTTACTTAGTCTATCATTTTGTTTGTCGTATTTTAATTTATCATCAAGTACTGTAGCTGTTTTTTTTTTAGAAAAACATATCGTAATTTGTTTACAGGTTTTATATATTATTTAGAATGTCAAAAAACAGAAGGTAGAGACAACTTTCCCATAGAAATAAAATAAACAACTGCTTAGACCGCATATCCTGTTGATAAGCTATAATTGAATAAATATAAATAAATATCACTTCATTTATGTACGCTGAAGGTACTATTTAAAACTACTTTTCTTATCTCGTTAAATTTTACTCATATTGTGTAAATTCTCATAATCTATAAAGAATGGATATCTTAGCTAAACAACTATTTTCATTGTTGTTCCAATTGACAAATTCATTTTTACAGAAAAGAGATTTTTATTATAAATTATCAGTGTGCTGGGAATAAACTAATGAAATTAATGGTTAACACATTCTCCTAATTAAAGTTTATTCCTAGGTGGGATCGTTCTACAAAGTATTTGAATACTGTGTTAAGCCTAACTTTTACTACAACGCTACAAACTGAAAGAAATTTGAACTCAGTAAATTGAACACATTTTTTGGTGGTATATAACACTAAGCTTTCTAAAAATCTTAAAATGGAATGAAATACAACTTTGTTCTATTACTTCACAAGCTTTTTAAGCAAAGATGGTTAGTGGCTAGCAGTGGAATGCAGGACGCGCGTTTCGTCCTATTTGGGACTCGTCAGCTGAATGTACCTGCATCTCAGAGTTGATGTTCACTCCGGGACTCGAACCCAGTACCGCTTCAAACGCCATCACGTTATCCATTTAGCTACTGAGTAGTGGATAACGCGATGGCGTTTGAAGCGGTACTGGGTTCGAGTCTCAGAGTGAACATCCATCTGACGAGTCCCAAATATGACGAAACGTGCGTCCTGCATTCCACTGATAGCCACTAACCATCTTTGCTTAAAAAGCTTGTGACTTAAGGTTAGATCAAGGCAATCCGCACAGGATGCACATATGCCAACATGAGACTGATCAATTGCAGTCCTAAATAACAATGGAAAGATACAAGTAAAAACAACACCAAGTGAATTGTTCTATTACTGCTTTGATCCGATAAAATCACATGTTTAAAAATTTGTTGCTTTTTTGATTAAAACCGCACTTCATGAAATAACTAATATTTATTTTTTGATTAAGATCATGAACCGATTGATGTTAGACCAACGTTGGAAAGCTGGAAGCACTGGACTAGCTTCGTGAAGGGACTCTCGGAGTTCTAGTCAGAAGCTGTGACGAGTGGAGCTAATCCGTGTCAGGTAGAGACAGGTACCTCAGTACAATGGAAGATGGTCGCGTGATTTCGTGGATTGGTTGATGTTAGACATTAACACCATTGATGCCTGCTTAGTGGTCCAGTTGGTTAAGCGTTCGCGCGCGAGACTGAAGACCCTGGGTTGGAATCCCGCGAGCGGGATCGTGGATGCGCACTGCTGAGTAATCCCACAATGAGACTAAACGGCCGCCCAGTGTTTCCAGGTTTCCAACATTGGTCTAACATCAATCGGTTCATGATTTTAATTAAAAACTTAGTAATCTCCACAAACTCTACACTGATAATATTTATTTTGCAGTTTTCAATTAACTGACATTATGGATCATGTCATGTGTATATCTATAAATATAGGGTTTGGCGACAGCCATACTAACGGAAGTTATGCATTGATAGTTAGGGAGCAGGTGTGACAAATGAGTCCTAAATATCATAAACATGTTACGTTAAGATTTGAGTTAGTAACAAACTAATAGCCGTCAATTCATCTGCTTATTATTGAGAAGTCGCCTAACCCAAAGGATTTAAAATGATGTCCTACTGTTTCTCAGCAGCTGAGGGAGGAGAGGTTTAAATCCTAAATTTTTCTCACCCTTGTACTGAAATAGAAGGGCGCTTATTGATCTGTTTGGTGCTTATTTCTCAAACTTAAACTACCGTGACAGTTGAACCAATAAAATGAATCTTTTGGCGAATCAAATCTTAGATTATCAATTTAGCTCATAGGAAACCCATTAAGTTGAAGCCATATAGTAGTATAGATTGGGTTGTTGTGGGAATCAAAATGGTTGCAAGTCATTAACTTGATTGTAGTAGATAAGTTTTTGTTTGTAAGTATAATAAGAATAAATAAATACTTGTAAAGTATTTAGTTGAATATACAATGTTAGTTGAGATATATGATCCAGTTAAAACGCTTCGACATAATTAATTGCATTATATCATTGTTTTACAAGACTTTCCTGATGTTGTCAATAGCTATAGATGGCCTCTCAACCTGCCCATCCCTTTCATATAAAAATCAGCCTTACTATGACTATCGCATATCATAAAATGATAGAGTTTTTTTCACGTAAGTGGTTAAGTGGTAAACAAACTCTTCTATTGAAAATCTCACAAATATTAAATGATTAATATATGAACGACGGATATTCTTTTCGATAAATTCTCTTCAAGTTCTATCTACAATTCATATATCCAAATTAATAATCCGAAAAATGGCCAGATTAATAGAAAAGTGCACCGTTTAAAGTTAAAGCATTCGAATTTAGGATCTTAAATTTTCACTTAACATATAAGCTGATTCAAGTTAACATTCCTTTAGAGTCATATCAATATTAACAATTGTATACGATTTTGTTTGACAATCCTAAATTCACATACTTTAACTTGAAACGATGCACTTTACTATTAAACTGGCCATTTTTCGGATTATTAATTTGGATATATAATTTTAGAACCTGAAATGAATTGATCGAAAAGAATATTCTTTGTTCAAATATTAGTCTTTTAATATGATGGGGATCTCACAAATATCTCTAGAAATTTTACCAGCCTTACTGTTCGAAATAAACACAAGATGACACAGCTCGGCGATAAGAACTGTCAAGTGGTACTCAAATAAAAAAGTTGGTGGGTTACCAGCCCAGAAGAAGGCTATTTATTGGGTGTTTGGATCTACATTTCTGATTGGTAAGAGAGGGGAAGTGAATGGAACAAATCGGAGATTAATTAGACAGTCTCACACCCTTGAAAGTTTATTCGCGTAGACTGCATTCCAGAAATCATAACAAGAGCTAATAAACAACAAAAGCAAATGAGACTAAGCAAAATATTAGAGCAGAACTCCATACAGCCAAAACACAAATCTCTAAGTGGTCATGACTAATTCTCATAACGTTTAGGTCATTCTTAAGATTTAGGAAGTAACCATTCTTGGGACAGACCAAAATACAATATAATGACTCATGGTTAAAGAGGTGCATATTAATTGCAAATGGGAACTAGCGTTCTCACAAATGAGGTAGAGGGTAGGGCTTGTAAAGTACAGTTATGTTCACATTTTTAGTATGCTAAAGAGAAGACAGATAGCGTGTTCAACATAATATTTTGCGCCGATTCCTTTCTGTAGTCATCATTTTGGTTTGGAACTGAGTATTATTAAACTTATTTAATCATAAATTAAAAGTTGACTTGACTTACGTGTTCATTGCATTAATATCTGGAGCGTATCATCGGTATACTTCGATCTAAGCAGTTGCAGCCTTAGCTTAAAATAACCACAAATGTATTGTAACTTAATTCTTGATTGATTGTTTAATTCCGTGTTTTTCTCTTATAACTTATTAAGGCATTCTGCTTCATCAACAACATTTCGTCCAGTAAGAGATTGTAGTCCGTTAATTCTTCGTGAAGGATGCTTAACACCAATTGAATCGGAAGAGAATAGTACCAATAATAGCCTGAAATATCGGACTCCAATGACATCAACAAATAAAAATACTACTGCTATCACCACTACTGTTTACACAGATAATTATGATAAATTACAGGACCCGCTAATTACTACAACACCTGTGATTACAAATAAACTCAGTCACTCAACAACTACCGCAGATTTACTTCATGGTCCTACATCCAGATCAAATTTCACTCATGCAAGACGTTCATCATTTAAACCAACTACCTCAATGAAACAAAAATTTTTGTTTCATAATACTCCAATTAATCTACCATTGATCACTAATAATCAAACATCCACAACTGTAAATCACGTTAATACTTTTAATAGCACACTAACTAGTAAGCAACATATCTGTCCTCCTTCTGCACAACAACAAACATCAGTTCATGTAACTGGAACTGCAATTACATCTACAAATAATACTACTGTGTTAGATGAATCTGCTAAAATATGTACCTTATGTTTACGTAATTGTCATGTCGAGACTACTATTAACAGTAGTAATCATAATGGGAATAATTTGATTGTAGATAGTGGTGGAGGTGGTGGCAATATCAATCTAATTGATCCAATATTAGTTTGTCAATCTATGCTTCCATATTACGATGATGACAGTACTGATAATGATATTAATAACGAAAAGAGAGCCACATCTATTTGTGGAGCTATATTTCATACAAGCTGTTGTAAAATCTGTAAGTTCTTAGTGTTCATTATTGGTTTTCTTGGTAAATTACCCACTAAATTTTAACATTTTGAGATTTATCTCCCAATATATACTTATTATTTCTTATTTAAAAGTTTTTAAGTGAAAATAAAACTAGCTATACGAATTCTTTTTATTTCAACTATTTAACAATGTGTACTAAACGATGTCAGTTTATGAAATCAAAGAGAATAAGCGCTATAGAGAATGATGATTACGATTGATACGGTAAATAGTCATATTTGATAAGATTTTGCGTTTTGATTTGTAGTTCTCCATTTGATGCAATCCCTGGCATGAACTATGTTCAATGCTTTCACCTATTTCATTATTAAAATTTCACCTTTTAATATCGCTATGAGGTATCCAGTATTCTGTGAAAAATTAATTAACTTTTTACAGCTTCTTAATTAGTGAATATTTTGATTCAATATTAAGGAGTTTGTATAAATGAATATAAAATAGATGATAATGGAAAACTTTCATATTTCGACATAACCTAGATTGTATATATTTGTTTTTCAGTATATCCTTTTCTTGTTACAAAGCCACTTGAACACTTTCATGTTACAGTTAGTCAGCATTCATACCTTTTGAACAAGTCTGTAAAATTTTTCAGCGAATAGTATTTGGATTCCTTAATGCCTTTTTAATTCTGCTTTCCTAGGTATGTATCGTAGCCAGTAAATGTAATCACTATACATTGTATCACTTTGTATCGAATATTATGATTTTTTATATAGTATTTTCTAACTGTGTTCGTCATTCATTATCATAGTATCATCAATGACTCATGACCGAAAAGAAACTGCTGATTACTCTATGCTGTCACACTACAAATATAAATGCCGTAAAGCAATTCAACAAGGTGAAAAGCAGGAAAGTCGAAATGATATCCATTAATAATAGTGAAAGCCGAATGTTGTAAATATATTTCAAAATAAAACAAAGATTGAAATAATGTAATCAAAAAATTTGGAATAATATAAAAACCCAGAAGTTACCAATGGATGTACCTGCAGCAGTGTGATAGTACCACTTAGGGTTTCTAATCATAAATTGCTTTCATTCTAGAAGTTTGCACTTCATGATACGACTCAGTTCAACCGTCACTAACTTTATCTAATTTTGCAAATGTTGCTTATAATCATAAATGTTAGTTACATTTTGAATGCTATTTTAAACAGATCTTAACTACCAAACGTGGGATAATATTTAAACATTTAAGCAAATACATTGAATACCTAGTAAAGTTATCTAAGCCCTAGAGCTGTAAAAATTTGGCACTCCAATCCTCTATAATTCGTTCATCGTTCTTGAACTGATGCATTAGATATTGGTGAAAACCACAATAATAGCTTATTCACACATTGAATTATATCAGGATTAAAAACTAAATATTTCCGCTTCCTAATATGAATTATCATATAAACAATTCAACCTTAACGTCTTATGATATTGAGCAATACATAAGTTAGGTCTCGAGGGACCTCTTTAGAAGCTAACAGGTACCTCTTATTTCAATGAATAAAGCATCGCTCATAAAACGGGATAAAAGCATAATCAAGAATATCATTACTTACGTACGCCTGTTACCCTTCGTGGAGGAGCATGGGCCTCCCACTAAAACTCTTCATCCAACTCTGTCCTGGGTAATCCTTTTCAGTTTTTTCAGTTGCTATTCATCCGTTTGATGTCTGCTACCGATTCCCGATGTAGTGCATTCTTTATCCTTCCTCTTTTCGATTTATCTCTAAGATTCCGAGTTAGGGCTTGCCTCGTGATGCATTTAAATGATTTCCGTAATGTATGTCCTACCTACTTGCAGCATCTTTTCCAAATTTCCTCTTCATCTGGAAGCTAGTTTGTCCCTTCCATAGTAGGCCGTTGCTGATGGTATACGACCAACGAGTATTGCGTATCTTGCGTAGACAATTGTTTAGAGATACTTGTACCCTTTTGATGATGGTTGTTGTAGTTCTCCAAGTTTCAGCTCCCTACAGTAGAACTGTCTTGACGTTCGCATGGAATATTCTGACTTCGATATTGGTTGACAGTTTTTTTAGCTCTATATGTTATTCAAATGTAGGAATGTGGCCCTTTGCCAATCCTCGCCTTTGCGTCTGCATCGGATCCTCCTTGTTCATCTATGATGCTGTCCAGGTACATGAAAGTTTCCATCGCTTTCAGAGTTTCTCCATCAAGTGTGATTATATCGATGTTCTCCGTGTTGTATTTGAGGATTTCGGTTTTTCCCTTGTGCATGTTGAGGCCAAATGCTGTAGAGCCTGTTGCTACACTAGTTGTCTTCATCTGTATTTGTTGTTGTGTATGGTATAGAAAGGCTAGGTCATCTGCGAAGTCCAAATCCTCTAGTTGCATCCAACCTGATCATTTTATTCCGTGCTTCCCGTCAGATGTCGAGATCTTCATAATCCAGTCAACTACCAGGGAAATGAGAAAGAGGGAGAGTAGACAGCCTTGTCTGACTCCGGTCCTCACCTGGAATGCAATTGTCAGATGTCTGCCATGCACCACTTTGCACTGAATTCCGTATGATGTTGAAGATTCTCTCAGCCACTCACATCATAGTGTCGAGGAAATTTCCATAATATTCTCTTATCCACATTGTCAAACGCTTTCTCATAGTCAATGGAGTTGGTGTATAGTGGCGTATCCTAACATGTATTTCTGTCTGATTACAGTGCCTTAGATAGTATATTGTCAGGTCCTGCTGCTTTTGCACTCTTGATTTGTCTATTGGCCATCCTGACTTCTTCAATTGTCGTTGGTGAGACATCTATGAGGAGGTCTGTGTGTGCACCTTCGATTTCCGGTGTATTCAGTGGAGCTAGCCTATTCAAGAGTTCCTCAAAGTGTTATGTCCATTTGTTCTTCTGCTCTTAAATATCAGTGATTGGCTTGTCTCCTTTGTCCTTGACCGGTCTTTGTGGTCTATTATATTTCCCTTCCAGTTTCTTCGTTGTGTCATATAGTTGTTTCATATTTCCCTTCTCTTGAAGCTTTTTCCACTGTCGTTTCTAGCTCTTTCACGTGTTCCTGCTTGTCGGCTCTCATGCTCTTCTTCACTTGCTTGTTTGCTTCAGTGTATTCAGTTTATGCCTTGATTTTCTCTGCTCTTGTTCGACTGTTGTTAATTGTGGTCTTCTTTTTGTTTCTTTCTTGAATCTCGTCCAGGGTTTCGATAGAGATCCATTCATTATGATGGTGCTTTTTGCGGCCCAGAACCTCCTAACACATTGAAGTTAGTGTTTCTTTGACCCTTTCTGGTTGTTCTTCATAGTAGTTTCTTCTTCGTTGAGTAGATCCGGTAAGACATGGAACCTGTTGTTGAGAGCTATCTCGAATCCATTGAGTTTGTCAGTGTCTTGAAGAAGGGCTGTATCAAACACATTTGTAACGCTGTCTCTTCAGTTTTCTAATGCTTTTTTAGCTTTAGTTTTATCCAAACGGAAATCGGGTACTGATCTGAAGCTGTGTCAGCTCCTCTCTTGATTCTCACGCCTTTATTGACTCTTTGAATTTTTTAATGATGCAAATATGATCGATCTGATTGTGATCCCTCCCGTATCTAATCTTTGCTGTCAAGCTTATGTTCAATGAGTTTCGCTGATTGCGAATACAGTCAATATGTATCTCCTCATTTCTGTAGCTATTTGACTGGTCCTCCCGATCTCTTAAATTGTCCGGACACTCCATGTATCTATACTGAATGTTTTTCTGTTTTTTCAAAGTGGCATCGTCCTCGTGACATCCGAAGTATCTCGTCTTTCATCATGAATTGTCATAATAGTTCCTTCGACTCGGACGTTCGAGTTTAAATGGTTTATCTTGTTTAACCTGATTAGCGTTTTTTTAGCAAGATTGTTTTCTCCGTGATGGGTTTGTCGACTCCATGCCCAACCCTCCTCCTTTACCCGGGCTTGGGACTGGCAGTAGCTCCAGAAGAGCTACAGGCGGAGTTAATCTCAATCTCATATTATACTGATAAGTACTGTATTAAGATTTAAAAAAATGTGAATAAATGTTGTGTTACTCACCCGCTAATAAAAAATTTAATTACATCTTAATTTCTTAAACAAATACCTAAAAATACTTTCATTTAAAGACAAAGAAATTTTCATAGTTTATGACACCCCGATACATTAAGGATGAAAGTCGTTTCGGATACATATTAGATATCAAATATATTGAAACTAGTAAAACGTAATACATTTATAATGTTGGGCGAAAATTAGGCAACAATAAATTCACATTTTATTTAAATCAGAAAAGACCATTAGTCATCTGTACGTTGTGACATGAATAGTTAATTTTAGACATCGTATTGATGAGTGATACAGTGACGTTACTCCCATAGGCTGCGTCGATGTGATGAACTGGTTTCATTTTTTAAATCTAAAGTATTTCCGGAGAAATAGATTAATAGTGAAAAACAATTAAATGGAAGATGAATCGGCTGAAAATAAACCTCGGAAGCGATTGACCACTAACATAAATCTCTCTAAGAAAAAAAATTTTATTTGATCTGTCTGAAGCATCTCAAATGACAAAAAGTCCCTTGAAGTTCCAGCGTCTGACAATCACAGACACGTTTTGGTTTGATCTTGTATAATTGTTATTTTGTATTTTATGGTATGATGCGGTTTTATTTGCTTGTGTATAAATACATGATTCATACAGTGGAAGTTGAGATTTCATTGTGAACAAACGGTTAAGAATAGGCGAGAAGGATCAATGAGGATTTCGAATCGACCAAAGGCTGCTAGTGATGGTTGACGTGTGATATGATGGGATGAAAAGTCGAAATTACTTACTTACTTACTTACGCCTGTTACTCCCAATGGAGCATAGGCCGCCGACCAGCATTCTCCAACCCACTCTGTCCTGGGCCTTCTTTTCAAGTTCCATCCAATTCTTGTTCATTTTTCTCATATCTATCTCCATTTCTCGGCGTAATGTATTCTTTGGTCTTCCTCTCTTCCTTCGACCTTGAGGGTTCCATATGAGGGCTTGTCTTGTGACGCAGTTCGGTGCTTTCCTCAATGTGTGTCCTATCCACTTCCAGCGCTTCTTCCTGATTTCTTCCTCCACTGGGATCTGATTTGTTCTCTCCCACAGTAGGTTGTTGCTAATAGTGTCCGGCCAACGGATCCGAAGTATTTTGCGTAGACAACTGTTAATAAACACCTGTATCTTTTGGACGATGGATTTCGTAGTTCTCCAGGTTTCCGCGCCATACAGTAGAACTGTCTTGACATTTGTATTGAAAATTCTGACTTTGGTGTTGGTTGCTAATTGTTTTGAGTCCCAGATATTCTTCAGTTGTAAATATGCTGCTCTTGCTTTGCCAATCCGTGCCTTCACATCTGCATCAGATCCACCGTGTTCATCGATGATACTGCCCAAATATGTAAAGGTTTTTACATCTTCCAAAGCTTCTCCGTCAATTGTGATTGGATTGGTACATGTTGTGTTGTATCGAAGAATCTTGCTTTTCCCTTTGTGTATATTGAGACCTATTGCTGCTGAGGCTGCAGCTACACTGGTTGTCTTCTCCTGCATTTGTTGTTGTGTGTGCGATAGAAGAGCCAGATCATCTGCGAAGTCTAGATCATCCAACTGCATTCTAGCTATCCACTGTATCCCGTGCTTCCCTTCAGATGTTGATGTCTTCATGATCCAGTCGATCACCAGGAGAAAGAGAAAGGGTGAGAGTAAGCAACCTTGCCTGACACCGGTCTTTACTTCGAACGACTTTGTCAACTGTCCTCCATGAACGATCTTGCAGTTTAATCCATCATAGGAATTCTGTATGATATTGACTATCTTCTGAGGCACACCGTAGTGTCGAAGAAGCTTCCATAGTGTTGTTCTGTCCACGCTATCAAATGCTTTTTCGTAGTCGATGAAGTTGATATAGAGTGATGAATTCCATTCAATTGATTGTTCCACAATGATCCGTAGAGTTGCGATTTGGTCTGTGCACGATCTATCCTTACGGAATCCTGCCTGTTGGTCTCGAAGTTGGGCGTCTACGGAGTCCTTCATCCTGTTTAACAATACCCTGTTGAAGACTTTTCCCGGTATTGAAAGAAGAGTGATTCCCCTGTAGTTGTCACAGTTGCTGAGATCGCCTTTCTTTGGTATTTTGACTAGAAGTCCTTCTTTCCAGTGTTTTGGTACCTGTTCCTCATCCCAGATCTTTCTGAAGAGAGTTTGGAGTATCCTTGCAGTTGCCGCTACGTCTGCTTTCAGTGCCTCTGCTGGAATGCTGTCTAGTCCTGCTGCTTTGCCACTCTTGATTTGTCTGATAGCCATGCTGATTTCTTCAATTGTCGGTGCGCCAACATCAATTGGGAGGTCCGTGAGTGCTGCTTCGATGTTGGGTGGGTTCAGTGGGGCTGGTCGATTCAAGAGTTCTTTGAAGTGTTCTACCCACCTGTTTCGTTGTTCTTTAATGTTGGTGATTACCTTGCCTTCCTTGCTTTTCACTGGTCGTTCTGGTTTACGGTGATTTCCGGAGAGTTTCTTTGTTGTTTCATACAGTTGTCTCATGTTTCCTTCTCTGGCACCCTTTTCCGCCGTCATTGCCAAATCTTCCACATATTTACGTTTGTCAGTTCTGATGCTCCTTTTCACTTGCTTGTTTACTTCTGTGTATTCAGCTTGTGCCTTGACTTTTTCTGCTCTTGTTCGACTGGTATTGATTGCTACTTTCTTGTTCCTCCTTTCTTGAATCTTATCCAGTGTATCGACCGTGATCCAATCCTTGTGATGGTGCTTCTTTTGGCCCAGAACCTCATGACATGTTGAAGTGATTGCCTCTTTTATCTCTTTCCAGTTGCTCTCCATAGTAGTTCCTTCTCCATTGAGTAGATCATGAAAGGCCTGGAACTTATTGCTGAGGGTTATCTTGAATTTATTGAGTTTGTCATTATCCCGAAGAAGAGCCGTATTAAATTTTTGTGATATTGTCCTCCCCGTTGTCCAGTGCCTCTTGAGTTTCAATTTCATCTTGGCGACCAGCAAGTGATGATCTGATAGCTATATCAGCTCCTCTCTTTGTTCTCACGTCCTCCATCGTCCTCCTGAACTTTTTGTTGATGCAGATATGGTCGATTTGGTTCTGTGTGCTGTGATCCGGTGAAGTCCATGTGGTTTTGTGTATGCGTTTATGTGGGAATATAGTCCCGCCTATGACCAGTTTATTGAAGGCACATAGATTTGCAAATCTCTCACCATTTTCGTTCCTTTCTCCCAGTCCGTGTCGTCCCATGATCTCTTCATATCCGGTGTTGTCAATTCCAACCTTGGCATTAAGGTCTCCCATCAGAATAGTCAGGTCTTTTGTTGGGCACTTCTCGACGATTGACTGCAGCCTATCGTAGAATTGATCTTTAACGTCTTCATTGTAGTCATTGGTAGGCGCGTAGCATTGGATGACGTTCATTGTAATCCCCGTTTTCTTTGTTTTGAAGAAGGCTTTGATGATCCTTGGTCCATGAGATTCCCATCCTATAAGTGCATTTTGTGCTTGTTTGGACAGCATCAATGCAACTCCTTGTGTATGTGGGGCATTTTCTTGTTCATGTCCGGAGTATAACAGCAGCTCCCCTGAAGCTAGTCGTTGTTGTCCAACTTGCGTCCAATGTGTTTCACTGATCCCAAGCACCTCTAAATTGTATCTCCTCATTTCTGCAGCAATTTGGAAAACTCTCCCAGTCTCCCACATTTTGCGAGCATTCCATGTACCTAAATAAATGGTTGCTCTGGTTGTCAGAAGGGGCATCGGCCTCGTGACTTCCGAAGAAACTCGGCTTTCATCATGAGGCGTCATAATTCTTCTAAACGAAGACCTCCTGACTCCCAGGGCAGAGTTTAAATGGTTTGAATAATTTTTTTCTGGTTAGCGTTTTTTTAGCGAGTTAGTTTTCTACGGGATGGGGTCGCTAACCCCATGCCCAACCCTCCTCCTTTATCCGGGCTTGGGACCGTCAGTAGCCCCCGGAAAGGGACTCCAGGCGGAGTTGAAAAGTCGAAATTAGATTGATTTATTCATTATGATTTTTATTCAACATTAATTCCGTCTTTTTTTAACTCAATGTAGTATTTGTTTTGTTTTTCTCTATAAGATACGATATTCTTGTATTAAGTTAACATGAACTATACTCAGCCTATGATTTGTTATAACTAAGTATTTATCATATATGTGATTTCATCCTAATTATTAATCAAAAATGTGTGTATGAATCAATATATGAATGAGTGTACTTCCGACCAGACTCGTCGTGGTTGTTCGTGTTTCTGACTGCTTGTGGAATATATTTCCCTCTTCTGAACTTGGACTTATCTTTTTAGTTAGCAGGGCTGAGACGCGTCGGAATAGCTAGCTTATCTGTGATCGGGTCACAGAGTCTTCGTTCCGTTGTCAGATTAAGTGAACTCGTAATCTCTTCAAACACGGCAACATGTCATTGGTTTAGCACAACAATCATGTCATATCAGTTGGTTAATGGGACTGAATGTTCGTCAATTGATGTAGTTATGATGTGTTTTATATGATTCACCCTTAAAATGAATTTCTGGTTGTGACAGGCCAATCGTTGAATTCATTGACTGTTGAATTGCGCCTTGGAAGAAATACAGACTCCATAATTTAAGTTCATACGTTCATCACACTGATACAGTAATATCCATTCTTTATCTTTTTATATGTCCTGAATTTTAATATTTTTATAACGACCTGGTTCTTTCAAAAATAAAAAGTATCATACATTATTTAGCACGGTACATGTATGTGTAGCTATTCGAAAGAGTAGAAGAATATAATTAGAACAATTATACTAATCTTGGAACAAAACATCGAATCCATTCATTCATGACATTGAATTCATAAATGTTAATTGTGATCATCAGACACAAGTTTCTGGAATCTCTTGAATCTCAGTCATCAAGTCTTATGGTCCTATGCTTTTCGATCCATTAGTTAGGAGGAACTTTAGTAATTATTTATTTACTGTTCATTATTTGTAGGAGTCTGATACATTTTCTTACTAAACTATTGCTTTGTTAAAACATGGCACTTTAAGGTTAGGCCGATTCATAGCATACGCAACATGTATCATCGTAGTAGATACCGACTGGTTCAAAGTTCATATAACTGACTTATCCTCCTTTTTAGTCCATTCAATTAAGCCAATTGCGTTTTCGTTTCTTTTATAGCAATTTATTGTTGATATTCCACACCAAAAATTAATATTAATGTGATATTTAAAAAAATTAATGAAAAACTTATATTTATACAACATTTAACAGGCCAAGTCGAGGTGTAGAACTTGCGCACAACTTAATTTACATTCATTTAAGTATTTCACACACATATGATCATAAAAATATGACATTAGTATCTAAGATTTAAGTAACTTTTGCACAATGACTCATCGCTATCAAAACTGGAAAAATCACACCAGACTAGTGTTAGTTTATAAGATCGGTGTGATTGTTAATAAAAGTACAGAAGTTGTGACCTAGTTTCCGTCCTCTTCTGAAGGATTTTGCTAGTTTTTTTGTCGAATTATCTTTTCATCCTTACGGTCTATCTATTGTCAGTTTAATCGTAATTGCATAGGTGTGAGCTAACTACTGTAACCGTCTTAAATGATATTCTAATTGCGGACGAATCCAGCAATCTACTCTTGACTTCCATCAATTTTTACGATATGGGGCTCTCCATGTCCAACTTCATTGATAGGTTATTGCGGATGTCCGCTAACCAAACATCTCAGTATTGATCAATTTTTCACTGGTTCATCAAAGGAACTCAGTTTGTGACGAGGTTTTAAACATTTTTTTCTCTCTACTGTTCAATAGAACGTAAGCATTTTATGCTTTAGTTATTCTTGTAATGATTAGTTTTATTTCTTTTTGAATATCTACTCATCTAATCAATTCATAAAATGTGATATAAAAGTGTTTAGTGAAAGCAATTTTAACAAAAATATTCAATTCCTGCTTTGTTTTTCTCGTCCTCATTTGGCGAAAGTAAGTGTTTTGTTCCGGGTTTTAAAACAATTTTTCAGGTCATAATAACCGACACTTTCGACTTTATTATGATTAAGTGGAAAACAATGAAGATGAAAAATAAGAATTAAAGAGGAAGAATGTATTTTTCAAATCTCAGCAAAATAATTCGAAGTAAATCCAACGTTTCGCCTGGCAATCTGGTCCAAGCTTTTTCAAGGAAAATATAATGAAACAACAATATAATCGATAATTTTTCCTTGAAAAAGCTTGGACCAGATTACCAGGCGAAACGTTGAATTTGCTTCAAATTTCTTCGCTGAGATTTTACAAATACATTCTTTCTCTGTAATGTCTCACATTAACTCGGCTCCCAAATATTGTGAAACTATTCGTTCAAATTTAGACGAAAGTTCTTATTTATTATTCTGAAAAATGAGAATGTATAAAATAAACTAATTATATGCATTTAGTAGTGATGTCACCATAGTGTGTGCATGTATTTGTTCGAAAATATATTGTTTATACTTTCTGACGCGCGTGTATTTAACTTACGGACTCTATCACAACAGTATATGTCAGAATAACAGTGAAAACTACTATTTGTTACTGTAGTTTATTTGTAAATCTCGTTTCGTTTATTGACTTTTATTAAATCAGACTGTTATTTAAAAAAAACCTGTACATATGAATAAAAAATAGTATGTATTTCCTAAGGTGCAATGAAATTACTTGGCGTGTATTTTCAATTCACTCTACTGACTGACCTAGGACTGTCAGATTCCAAAGCAGCTATTGTTAGATTTACTGGAACAACAAATAATGATTTGTTTGTTAAATTCATGTTCAAGATAATGAACTCGGCAATAACGACAATAAAATCTCAACGTATATAAGCACATAAATGTCTGGTTCTATAGGGCTGAATAGATAGAGCATGAATCAATCAATAAGAAAGCGGTTGGTTTACGATCTAATTTGGTAGCATAGTTACGATACACAAACTTCACAGCCATGTTTATATTGAACTTAGTCTGGTCACTATTTACTGATTTTCAGTATGTCCTTATGCCATCAAACTTCGTGGTGGAAAGTACGTCAATCATAAAATAATTTGAAAATTTTAGCACCATAGGGTTTTTGTTTTGTAAATTTATCGTATAGTTCTAGATTTCAGATTATCTTCCTTGTACTTCTTGCATATATATTCAGAGATATTACTCGATGACTGAAATTCCTCTATAACCTTTGTCAAGTGTCATGACTCAACTAGTGTGATACACAGCTGTCAATAGAACGCTAGTGAGTTCGAATCTCATCACCGTCTAAGTATCTCATTAGCCTAAGAAAAATGGAGACAAAATAAATATCAGACAAATAAAACTAAACACGAAAAAACATGAATAAAACAATTATAGACCACAAGGACTTTCCTGTTCAGCTGTGTATATTCCATTCACTCAAAGAATTATATGATATCGAGAGACCGCTTTTGATCTTACTGTAGATAAAGAGAGAATATAGAGAAGATTTCATTATTAGAATTATATATTGATATTAAATTAAAAATTTCGATCGATTTATTACTGAGTTCAATGTTTTATCCTATATATATGTATTACTGACGTTGCCGTGATTGCTATTTTATTAACACATTAATTGGAGAAATTGCAATAAATGTAACTTCACTTCTTTCATATTTGCTTTCTGTTTTCAACTTTATCCACGTCTTCATATTTTATTACTCACTGCATCCTTCATCGTATTGAATTCACACATGTTGCTCGGTCTAACTCTTTTACTTTTGCCTTAAAGACTCCAAGATATAGCTTCAATGCCTCGCGCATTCAGTAGTGCTAGTCTGTTCAAGAACCTTTCTAAGTGTTCCACCCACCTGTTCCGTTACTGTTGAGTCTGTGTGATTGGTTTACGTTTTTAGGTCTTGACTGGTCGCTCTGGTGTAGCATATGTTCGTACAGGCTTCTTGGTTGTATCATATAGTTGTTTCATGCTTCCTTCTCTTGCAACTATTTTTGCTGTCATTGCCAGGCCTCCCACATATTTCCGTTTATCAAATGTAATGCTCGTTTTCTCTTGTTAATTTGCTTTGCATATTAGGTTTGTGCCTTGACTTCCACTTCCGCTGTTGATTTGTTTCTGGTTGCTGTCTCCTTGTCTTCCCTTTCATGAATTTTGCCGGGATGTCGATAGAGATCCACTATTTATGTTGATGACTTGCAGCACAGCACCTCCTTCGACATTGAAATAATTGCTTCCTTGACGCCTTTCCAGTTATCTACGGTGGTTTTGTCTTCTAATAGACCCTTTCACTCACAGGGCATAGTTTAAATAATTTGAATTCTTTTCGCTGCCTATTGTTTTTCTACATTGTTTGGTTGGTAACCATCACTTTTAACGCTTTTTTACTGAGTTTCGGGACGCAAAGGATCTCCAGATAACTGCAGGCGGAGTTCTGTCCCTTGTGGTTTTTCATATTATGTTGTTTATGTCCCCTTTTTCTTGTTGTGCTTATCGTTCTTGTTGGAGTATTTCGTCTATTCTCGCCGCTTATTTGTATTTATTTCCTGTATTCTATCAACCTCTTGGCTCTATAACTAGTGGTTTTATTATTATTATTATTGTTTTTGTCATGTATTTTATTGAATTCATGTGAGAAACTGTCGTGTCATTTGTAACTCCACTCCCCTTTTCGCTTTTTCTCACTTCAGCCTCATATTTTTTATATTTTATGTGTCTGCATATTTGTTTTTTTTAACAAATTCAATGACTGATTGATTGAATGAATAAAGGATTAAATTTATATGTTGTCAGTTTGTTCTTTTTGTAACATCCATTTCTAACTTAATTGTTCTCTTTTGTTAAAATAACATACCTTGAAACTAGTTCATATTTGTAACTCTCTCCACTTTTATTCATAACGGAAATCTTTACTTTATAACTATAGTTTTTTTTTATTATTTTTACTGGATATTTTTCTCAGTATAATAATAGCAATAATAATAATAATAATAATAATAATAATAATAATAATAATGTGTATGTTAGAAACAGGAACATTATTATCACTGTTCCATTTTATGTTTTAGGAGTGAGGAAGGTTATAGACTTAATCATTTATCATAATTCATCCAACATATGTACGTTTGAGGAAAGTGTATATTTGCTTTTCGTAATAGTAACGACTATGGTGAGAATTCATACAATCTCTCTCTCTCTGCATAATGATTGGAAAAGTGAGTTGAAAAATGAAAATAATTAGACATTTAGTTGGGATGACTCACCATTTCACTATTTAAATATTAGAAAATAATAAAAAGAAAGATAGTAGAAAATAATGTCAAAATATTATGTTAAATATAGACTATAGTGTATTTACAAGTAGAACAAGTAATGGTTCTTGTAAGTGATTTTGTTGTTTATGTTGTTAAGCTACTCACAAGTAGTTCAGTTCGAGGGGTTCTAATTTCCATAGCGACCAGTACGGTTTTCCTATCATAAAGCAACGCAAAAATGTGCCGATTTTTAATAAGCGGAGTCGTATTAAAAGAAAAATGTAACCAGGGGTAACGATGGGAAATCTTATATGATGTACAGAATGATTTTCAAAAGTTAGTCAAACCGAAACGTTTTACTTCAAGCCTTTTACTTAAGTGTGCAGCTTTGACTGCACTTGATCTGCTAGTTGATCTCTTTCATACAAACGTTAAGCACGTTTATTTATATATTTCTACCAAATACAACATTATCAGACAATCTGTTATGAAATGTTTTTATTGAACTGACTGCTGTCTTTTACGTAAAATCTTTTGTAATAAGTGAGGACCTTAATAAAATGTTTAAAATGTGAAATACAGTAATCCATACTTAGTGTAGGATTCATGCTTAGTGATGCGAACCAGTGAAACGGGTTGGAAACACTAAAGAAACAGGCAGTATTCACCTTTACTTCGCAGTTGCTATAGCCCATTTAGTCGAAATGAAAATGTCACGCTCATCGAAATACATAACTCAAAGGCTCGGAATGCTTGCGAATTTTCTGCGATTATTTTCCGACACTAAATGCATTGGGTTTTGGTTAAAAATGTACTCTTTCTTTGCATTCATATGAATATTGTTTGCTACATCATTCTTCACCAATTCTCCTGTTTTCCAAGTATTGATTTTTAAAATCCCCATTTTCTATTGCAGTAGGTTTACCGTCTAACG